TTTATCAGTGTAGAAGTTTGGTTTCGAAGCATCCATATATCCCACACCCTCTTGGTGTATTTCTTACATATGAACAGTGCATGAGAACAAAACAAACAGCAGTATGTTGCTTAGCTTCCATATTGGACTCCAGCCTGCTTCTCCCAACTGGTGGCGTGCTGACCGACATCTACTTTATGTAAGATACTGTCTATGGATAAGTTCCCCATACAACCCCCAAAAACCTGAACTATCCTTTTAACCTTATGCTGGGATTTATTGTAATACACCAGTGTCCTGTTCATGGTTGGCCAAACTTACATATGGAGAGAATAATATGTGCGTCTACCTGTTTATTTTCTCACTCTGCCCATGTTTCTTCAAATCAGATGCTAAGTGATACTGAATGAGCTTTTTAGTAATTTTCCAAGACAGTTTCTTCGTCTTTCCTCTCTCCTGTTACTCAAATCTCTGTTGCTCAGATCCCATGTTACTGACTGATTATTCACACTGGTTTTCCAGTGCTTAGCTTGGGTTTATGTGTTCACCCATTATTGACCCATTGCTTTGGTCCCTGTTGTTACATATAATGCATGCATACGCTAGCTGTTGGTGTGTTTTTGCTGTATGGACGGAAAATACAGTATGCACATTACATAGTGCTCCCATGAACAAATATTTGAATACCGCCAAGTGACGTTTTCTACCGTTGCCTTAAGAGCTTGGTGCTCAAAACGTCACTTGGCGGTAATTAAATATTTGTTCATGGGAGCATTATATAGTGTGCTGACTCTAGTTTTCTATCTTTCACATGTTCTTTTTTCCAGCAACTGGTAGTTATTGTGTGTATGTATGCGCTTTTGTACTTTTTGTAAGATTTTTGCTGTATGGAACCAAAACTGGAAGCTGCAGCTTAGATAAAGAATATGTATCTCTATGAGAATCTAAATTCCTCTTCATTGGTGTCCATGATCACTGTATCCTCATATAACGGTTCGTATGATATCTTAGGAAAAGGCACATACAACAGTTCTTATAATATCTAACAAATTTGTGGGCCATTAATGGCGTTGTCAAGTTTCATAGTTCATATTAAGTTACTTTTTGACAGATTTAGGAAAAGAAACATGGTTGGGTGTCATAAAATGACCTAATTTAAGTTTGGGCAAGAAAAGTTATGTGGTTAGGTTTAGGAAAGTGAAGTTATGCAGGTTTGGACGTTGGTTCAAGAAATATAACTATGTACGTTAGATTCAGGAAAGTAAAGTTATGTATGTTAGGTTTAGGCAAGTAAAGTTACATAGGTTAGGTTTATTCAATTAAAGTTATGTACGTGAGGTTTAGGTAAGTTAAGTTACGCAGGTTAGGTTTATTCAAGTAAAATTGCGTACATTAGGGTTAGGCAAGTAAAGTTACGTAGGTTAGGTTTATTCAAGTAAAGTTACATAGGTCAGGGTTAGGGTTAGGAAAGTGAAATCATGTACGTTAGTTTTAGGAAAGTAAAGTTACGTATGCAAGGTACAGGAAAAGAACCCTGGTAGACACGTAAAATAAGTCAAAGTTCACTTGGTTTCACAGAGGACATGAACGTTGGTGTCCTGGGGGAAAGTCCTGTGTTTTATGACCCACCAAATAACCCTACCAACCTCCTTACATGAACTTTGAGTCTTTATACTACTTTGTCAGTGCACACACCTGATTGCAACCTTCCTGATTATGTGGGTTTGATCTGAATTACTGGCTCCTGGTGATGTGTTACGTACAAATTGTGGTGCCTTACTTTTCATCGGTATACATACAAACAGTGCATGACAACAGCCAGCCAGCATACATCATCATTTGGATTAAACCATACATAAAGTGACCTTGGGACGAAAGCCCAATGGTAGAATTTGATATTTGGTAGTGAGTGTCTGGTTGAAGTGTTACTATGCTGCATACAGTCGCTGAAAATTTGGTATAACTGAGCTTTATCTCAGTCATGTCAGAACTGAAGACTGATTGCCAACTTTCAGGTCAGATCTCCTTCCAGTAGATCCCTTGCAGTGTCTGCTTCAGCGAAGGTATCGCCTCCATTACTTTCAGGGTGTTTAATGTGTAGTGAAACTTAAGGTCTTGTGGGTTTACACAGAGGTGATTAGTGATCATATAGGAAGCTTCAGTCATTTGAGGCTAAGCGAGACGTCATATAGGTGATGAATCTGATCATCATTGATGTGATAGTGTCCACCACGTGTTATAGTTTAGGTGTGCTCTGTCTCCCTGCGGATTAGGGGCTAAAATCCAGTGGAGCTTGTAGATTTCTCCTGGTTGGGGCATCGCTGGCTCAGAGCTGTAGTCCTTTAATTGCCTGTCCAGGAGGGGGAGGTCAGAGCTTAATCCACCTGAGGAGCTGAGGGGCAGCTTTACAAGCAACATAGAGGCTACTGAATCATGCTGATACCTTGTAGTTAAATATACCTATAAAGGAAACAGAGACCAACAAATGGAGATGAATAATTTGACTGAATGAAGCAAACTGTGAGGACGGAGTGTGGGTTTACTTAAACTCCATGTTGTATATTCAGTCCAATGGAAAAACGTACGCACAGGAAGAGTTAGGGGGCTTCTGGCCAAGGAGAAACAAGGTGTGCGGTGCTGGCTTTATTTATTGAGATGGTCACAGCACACCTCAGCACCCCCCATTAGAACTTAATAAATTACACTGTGCCTGTCTGGGGGCTGAGGGAGCAGTGTGCACTGTGGGAGAGGAGGACTTGATTATTGGTGTTTCAATTAGATTTTTAGGGCTCTGCTTGTTGCTGTTGCTACCATTGCTATTACTTACATGTGCAGCCGTTCTTTATGCTTAATGGGTAATTAAAAGAATATCTCTCTCCCTCTCAGTCCTTCTCTGTCATTCTCACTGTTTTCTATGTCGATACATAAAAAAATACTCTTATAAGGTTTGATTAATCTCAAGTCACTGCATGGTTGAGGTCATGTTTTGGTTAGAAACCTCTGCAAGCAATTTATAGTAGCTAGTCATGTGCAGAAACACACAACCCCCTACCCTTACACACACACACACACTAACTAATGATGAGCAATAGCATCGTCCCTAGGGTGTTACACCTCTATGTGCCCCCTGTTTGAAAAATTGCCACCCCCCTACCTCAGTCCTGCGAGTCATGGGAAGAATGAATGGATATAATCAGTAAGCTCACCCATTCACTCTCCTCATGAGGAGAAGCCTGTTATTCTCTGTCAGTCCCTTCTCCCTTCCCTCATCTCTCTCTTTTTTTTCCCAGCCTCCATCTCTTCCGCCCCTCTCTGCGTGTTTTCTCTCTCCTCTGCATCTTTTATCAGAGTTGCCGATCTCTGTTTAACCGTGTCCTCTCTCTCCCCCTGCCTCCCTGCGATTATTTTCTCATCTGCTCACATAATATCCACCTCTTCTCTTGCTGATTCATTTTCTATATATTTGAATATCTGTATTCTCCCCTCCTTCCATTTTCTCCTCCTCGGTCCTGTTACAGTTTTCTTCCTTGGCTGCAGCACTGCCAATGTTCCCCTGTTTTGTTTTCGACTGTATCTATATTCCTCGCAGGCACTGTCTTCTGTCTGACATACTACTATTTCTGTATAACACTCACAATTGTTTATGTGATTCAGCATTTCCAAGTCATTATTAACCAGCCCAGTCATTGTTTGTTTCTGCAAATCACAAACATGTTACATATGAAAAGTTTCATACAGAGCATATTGATATCTCTACAGTGACGTAGCTCTGATTAGCTGACATGCATATAAGCTGACTTTGTCATTGGCAAGTGAATGGTGTAAAATGTGGGTAAAATGGCTGTCAAGCAGCAGACCACTGTCAAGACAAAAAAACAACAAAACTTGGCATTTCAGCCCTTCTAGACACACTGTGCCTCCAAAACTAGTTGTGTTTTAGCAAGACATCTAAGCATTTCCAGTCGTAATTGTGGCACCAAAACTGGGTGTTTTCTTAGCGAGTATTTGTAGCATTTCCAGTCATGATTTTGTCACCAAAACTGGGTATTTTTTAGTGAGACATCCGCCTATTTCCAGTCTCGATTGTGGCACTAAAACTGGGTGTGTTTTAGCGAGACTTCAACCCATTTCCTGTCGTGATTGTGGCCCCAAAGCTTGATGTTTTTAGCGAGATATTGGCCCATTTCCAGTCATGATTGTGGCACCAAAATTGAGTGTTTTTAGTTAGACATTGTAGCATTTCCTGTCATGATTGTGGCACCAAAACTGGGTGTTTTTAGCGAGGCATTGGGACGCTTTCAGTGGTGGTTGTGGCGACATAACCTTGTATTTTAAGCTGAACATAATCTTTTCCAAACCCTGTGCCTTAACCACACATTAATCTCGGTGTTATTGTAACCTAAAGATATGTAATGTTTTAACATAGCTATTACCTATGAAATGTAAAATGTTACATATATGTGGTTTGACGAGGTGTACGATGCCAACATTTATTCTGGAGATTAGGTTGCATGAACACCTGAATTAATTTTAGTGTCTAGTTAGTGGCTAACTTAAGTGCCTTTATTTTAAGAACATGGTCTCTTAAAACAGTACGCTCCCTGGTAAGTTTAAGGCCTATGGTGCATACTGGTAAGGTTTTGAATAATTACAATGTTTCCAAGAAAGAAACAGTTTCACAGGCCTGTGAGGAGTCAGAAAAGATGAAGTCCTGCAGTCTTTCTATGTTTTAGGTGGTGTATATGTTCAAGCTCAGTTGGCCGACCATAAAAATGTTACTGTTGATATTTCATTTTCCATTCTTATAGGTAACTAGGTAACAGATGTCATGACCTTTGAATCCGGTGTAGCGAGGAGAAAATGACCTTCAAATGCTGAGGCGTTTGTCCTGAGTTGCCACACATTCACCTCATGCATATTCAGTGCACACCAGGCTCAGTGCCTACACAAACAAAAATGAGCAGCTTGGTGGAACATCTCCTTTTGTGGTACTGTACGTTCCTTGACAGAGAACCTTTCAGGTTTGGTCGTCCTGGCGTGGAGTGTTACTGTCAGCACGAGAGTGGAGCGGCCGTCATCCAGCTACAGTTTCTCATCAATGAGGTAAGTCACCAAAAACATGAGAGAAACACTGGAGTTAGAAGATGGCTTATTACCCAGTGATGCATCTGTATTCACAAGTACAAAGCCAAAGACAGATTCAAATGTTCAAAAAGTATTTCCCACTGTGTTCTACTGTAGGAAAGGATATATGATGATGATCGTATTGGTAGTGTGAAAGTAACTCACTTCCCTTTTCTGCTTATCTCCCTCCTGTCGCTCCATGTTTTATGGCAGTAAGAGGTTCCCAGTTGTTTAGTGCTGTACCAAGAGTACAAGATTCATTCGACCAGATTCCCCTTGTGTTAGTAGGGTTAGGTGATGATCCTCAATACTTTTTTGAGTACTGAGTGCTTCAGTGTTCATAGCATTGAGTATTTTAAACTGTAAAGTATGAAGAGTTGGCACTAAATGCCTGGTCTCACTCACACTAGTCGTATTTGCTTCTCTTTTGACTGAAACTGTTATTCAAGAACGTTTATAAATTTAGACAATATGCAGGGTAGCTTGTGTTAAAACAATAACCAGTGATGCCTTGAGAACTTTGCCAAATATGATTAAATGAAAAAAAATGTTTGTGGAAAAAAACATATCCATATACCTTAAGCAGGATTTATACTTCTGCGTGGAATTGACGCTGTATCTATGGCGTAGCCTGACGTGCACTTCCCCAGAAATGTACATTATGCTGACCTCCTGTCTATTTCTGTAAGCTGAAACCATTTCCCTCAGTGGAAACAAAGCTTTTATTTACTTTAATTTCACAGATAAGAAACAGTAAGTTGTGATGACAATAAAGCCTCTGCAAAATTGCAATAAGTTTTGTGTGTGATTTATCCTGGCTTCATACGAGTAGAAGAAATCACCATTAGTCGCTAGGCTAATTGATACAATGTAAAATGCCATAGGCTTGTGCTAATAATGTTAGCATGTTGCATATTTGTTTGGAAAACGTGTTTAGTATAAGACAGTTGTTTTGTCAGTGAACCTTGTGAGTTGTAATGGAGCCAAATTATGTACCATAACCTTTGTTAAATGTTGCTGTTGTCCCTGGTTTTATATGAGAAGAGGAAAAGTCTGCTAGCTGCTAGGCTTATTTATACAATGTAAAATGCCATAGGCTTGTGCTAATAACATTAGCATGTTGTATTTGTGGGGAAAATGTGTCCAGATAAAGACAAGTGTTTGTCTGTGAATGCTGCGAGTTATAGTGAAGCTGATTTGTGTGCATGTGTTTGAAATTGTCTCTATTAAGCCATGTTTAATGTGTGTTTAATGTGTGTTTTGAATAAATTAAAATTTACAGCACTTCACATAAACTTAGGCTATGGCGTAGGCTCTACATAGAGGTGGTGGAGTTTCTTACTTTGATAGAATACCTTGAAAAATTAAGATATCCAATACCATTTTTAATAACACAGGAAAAAAATCTTCAGACTTCAAGGGCATACATTATTTATTTAAAGATAAACAAAGCTATGATTTGACAACAGTGACTTTTCTTTTCTTTGTTAGTAGCAGAGACCAGCAGAATGACTGAACTAAACATTAGCAATATGAGACAGCGAGAAAACACAGCTGGTACTAATGTGTCAGCACTGTGGAAAATGAGTATTGAAACTGATTCAAATATTCAGAGTCAATATATATTGACAAATCATTATTTCTGACAGTACTACTTCAACCAAGAAATTAAAATAAAACAGAGTACAGACTACTCTTACCATGTAACATTCATATAAATTGATCCTGTATGTTCATGGAGAATGTTGAGGATCTCTAGGTTTTTGATTCAACATACTTGTCAACACTTTTGGGGGGCTTTGTCAATTTATTACCTTTCAGCCGAAGTATTGAAATAGTCAGTTTATTCTCACCACAGATTCTTAAACAGCCTCTGTTGAAGGGCATTGCATGGCAACTACGCTATGTAACACACAGTTGTTTGCATTTGTCCTTTTTTAAATCACAGAAAATCTCAGATGTGGATCAGCCCACAGCTCAGCCAGCCTCTTTTACTGTGGGCAATAGCTCAGCTTAGAATAGGCAGTTATGTCTTTATGTCGTGTTAAGCAGTGAACCTACAGCACAGACCACGGGGAAAATTCTTCAGCGTTTTGTCGAGTGTCGATTGGCAGGCTGGGAACATGCTCTGAGTGCTGAATACCTACAGCACTTTATGATTCAGAATTCACATGAAAAAAACATGAGTTTGATTTATGTTTATTAAAAATGCAGTATTCCATGCCTAGTCGTGTGTGTGTGTGTGTATGTGTGTGTGTGTGTGTCAGTCAGTGTCTGTGTGACTGTGATTCAGCAGTTTAAACAAACCCTCGGAGAGACGGAGAGGATTTTTAGTGCCTCCTACATGCGCACGTACTCTTATATACATCTTATGAATCATCGGCGTTACCTGGGAGAAGGCCGCCTGATTTTAACTCAGTTTCCAGGGAGTGCTGTCTGACTTATGTGCGTCATGCCCACAGGAACCATAGGCAGTCTATAGATATGTGGAAGATTCTCATAGCCCCCATGTATTTCAATGATGACATCTGTCTTTGAATGTAAAATAAAATGCCCCCTCTGTTATGACAGGGAGCGCTGGTGAGTGCTCTGGCTGACGACAGTGTTCACCTGTGGAACCTGAGGCAGAAGAGACCAGCCATCCTCCACTCCCTCAAGTTCAACAGAGAGAGGTAAGAAGGGTGCACGGAGCTGCAAATGTCGAGAAAACCTTCAGTGCTAAATCGATGATGAGTCTGTCTCAGCATCCCTCCCCTCCCCCCCTCTCTTTTTCACCTCAATTAGGCCCTCACATTCGCTCTGCTGCAACATGAACTGTGTATCTGTGCAGGGGCCAGTGTCACAGTTTGCTGCCTGTGTGAACTGTTAGTTTTCGCTGACTGTCATGCTGTATGCAAACAGACGGCGTTTCACTTGGCAAATGTGTCTGCACGCTCGCAAAACTGTGCACAGGGCAAAGGAGGTGACAGAGGCACTCTCTCTGTTCCTCTCTCTGTTGGTCTCTGACTGAACGCTCATTATTTGGGTCACTTACTTTGCCTTTGAGGCTTTCCCCATCACTGGGGCACAGGTGTGAACCTACCCAAACACCTGAAGGGTTGCACCGGTTGGTTGTTACACACACACACACACACATACACACACACACACACACACACACACACAAACAGAGCATAAATATAAACACACACAAGCAATTAGAGGTAAAATATGCAGGAATAGTTGCTTATTGTTTATAAACACAACACTCAATCTTGGCCCCTCCTCCCTACACTTCCCCTACAGACACTACAAGCTACTGTTGTAGGAACGTTACATTTGTTGAAAGGAAAAAGCCAATACTTTAACAAGCTATGCAGGCTAACCAAAACAGGCAAACTCTGCATCGTTCTTCATTCTCATCCTCTCGTGCAGTGCTTGCTAGCTAAAGTGATAGTGAAAGCCACCCCTAGATTCACTCATTTTTTAAATGTGCTATATTAGTCTTGTTTCGGTGGTGTGTCCACGTTTTTTTTCTGCTGTGAGGGGCCAAGGACAGAGGGATGTCCTATGCTGTAAAGTCCTCTGAGGCAAATTGTGATTTTTGTTATTGGGCTCTATAAATAAAATCAAATTGAATTGAATGAATAAGGTCTGATCTGACCTATGTACTGTTTTTGGCTGGTGGCTACACGTCCGTAAATGTCCTGCCCACAGCAAAACAAGAGAAGGGCAGAGTCCTGCATGAGGCTGGGTACCCACAGGTACATGGCGGCTGACCCACTGGTTCTGCTGGTGCAAAAAAGAACATGCAGGTCAGATAAGGGGTGTAAGATGGTAAATATATTAACATAAAATGAGAATAATCAAAACACCACCTAAATTAAAAATTCCAGAATGTTATGTCCATGGCCTCAGAAAGTTCAATCAGTTTTAGTGAACATGAAGTACTTTGTCTCAAAGCCAGAAACCAGAGAACTTGTGATGTCATCAAGTATAAAGTCTGGAGCTGTTCCATAGACAATGAATTAGGGACTGATTTTGTGGACGCACAGAATGTTTGTTTTCTTTGTTATTTCTTTATTTTTCCCTTGACGGCGCCACTGGCCGCGCACATGTGAGTTGTCGACAGTGACAACGTGTGTGTCGGCTTTGTTGAGTGTACCAAGTGCAGCACGGTCCTGGTTTGTGACAGCAAAAAGACAGGGACCTGGACACTTAAGAGGCACATGACGAAGGCTTGCTATGGAAAGAAAGACGAGAGTCAGCCTTCAATGTCCACATTCGTATCCTTAAAAAAAACGTTGGGTTTAAACCGGGCTCTGGCTCATAATTACAGTTAAAGGGCCTGATCTAAGCTCTACTCCAGACTTTAAACCCCATAACAGTGGTTCCCAACTGGTGGATCGTGGTCCAAAAGTAGATGATGGTTCCATTCTATGGAATATTGGATCATCACAAATTTGAGTTTTCGCCCTCTAGTTTTTGGATTTGGGACGTAGGCCATAGGACTTACATGTATGAATTTTATAAATGGGCGCACAGTACAGCTGCACTAAACTTATAAGATTGCTAAAAACCCACAGTCAGTAGGACGCTTGACTATCTACTATCAAAAAGTGTTATCCCGTGTTTATACAGTTGGCATCAGGGAGCATTTTCAGAACTTTCCTTGGTGCTACATCAAGGACAATCCGACATCCAAGAACTGATATTTGGCTGACAAGCAAAAAAGCACTGCATAAAAAATGTTTTCTTTTCATTTGCAAATGTCCTAGTTGTGAGATATAAGACAGAGTGAAGTGCAGAATCACCTCACCTCAAGGAAGTTGCCGTCCACTGTCTCCTCCAATCACAGATGCAGTGTTTACCCTTCAGAGCCAATCATATCATTGGCCAGTGATCTGTCACAGTGAAAAGTGGTGAATGGGTTAAACGTCAGAGCCAATGATCTGAGGCAGCGCTGATGTGATGGACAGGTGGCCAGCAGCGGCTTTTAGGGCGGGTTGTGTTCTTGCGGAGGCGCTTGACCGCTTCTGACATTTAGTAAGCACCGCCGTCCAACGCGACGACCTCGAGACACATCAGCAAGAAAGGAGCAGAGTTACTGCATCTCAAGGGACGTCAGGATGGGAAGGAGAAGCTGCAAAGTCACATGAGACATTCAGAAAGAGGAGAGAGTTCAATGTAAGCAATGGGAAGAGGAGGCTTGTGAGGAAGAGTAGTTAATGAGTTAGAGATAGGGAGCGTAACCATATAGAATGAAAGAAGGAGAGAGGAGGAACATGTAACATGAGCAGGAGAATGGCTTGAGAGGGACCATACATCCCACTCTTCATTCCCTTTTCTCATGCCATTAAAATTAAAATTTCAAGAGGACGAATGCTGGCTTTCACTCCTCATCCATACATAATATGTAAGATGTTTGTGGGAGAAAATGCAAATACAGTGCTTGGCTCATGAGTGAGACAGTCTCGGTCTGAGATCATCAGTCTGCTGTTCTGCACCTGACAGCTTGGAATCACTCAACTTAATGATAACAGCTCTTCTCTGTGAGGTTTCTGGCTTCTCCACATGCCAAAGAAATACAGCTCAGCTGAACTGGAAACCTAATTGCCCAGAAGTGTGAATGTGTTTGTGTACTATATGTGTTAAGTGCAACACACATCAGCTGCATCGCAAATCTGCTGATCCAGGATGTTGGGATATAGAAATCTGCATATCCTGACATGTCCTGCACCAAACCCAGCTAATATGTGGGCTTATATGTAATGGCTGCGGGTGCATCGATGCCTGTCATACATCGTAGTATAGGGGCTGGGCGATAGGTCCTGAAAATTTTATCACTTTTTTTTTTAGGCTATATCTTGATACACGATATATATCTCGATATTTTTGAGACTAAATGGAACATAACAATATTCCTGACCAAGTTCCATAATTGCCTAGAGTTGGTTCATGTTCTCACGGCAGCATTTGCAAGCAGACCAGATGAAATGCCTTGTGTGAGAAAGCTGCTCTTTATTGGTCAGAATTTCCATGTAGGAAAAATCCAGGAAGTAAACCAAATGTTGAAGAAAAGTACACTTGCAAGGTAAATGTGACACTTTCTAATGTCACAATGGAGGGACAACTACGCAGGTTGATTTTAGCGCTGCTCATCGTGGACTATATTGCTGTCATTGTTCATTTTAGTCAAACCATACAGTTTGAAAACGAGGCGCGGCTCCAACTAGAAAACAATGTTTTGATGCATTGGATGTGCTGAATGTGCATATTAAGGCAGTACAGGAGGAGGTGCACATTAATAATCCTCCAGGACTGTAACATGCTCATGTTTAACACAAACAATGCGTAATGTGACTGCAGTTGGTTCAGAGTTCATTTTCTAACTGGACCGAGACCACCTCCTCAAGAAGGTCTCAGTCCGGTTGTTTGGTGCGCATCCTAATAGGATTGCTGTGTTCACACCTGCCCAAACAAACCGAACTTCGGTGGCAATCAAACTTGGGTTTGATTGAACCGAACCAAACAGTGCACCCTGAGGGACCCCTTGGAAAATGGCCATGGCCGTTGTTCCCTTGCCAAAACTCAGCTTAACTTTGGAGCTTTATATACCCCACTTCCCAACAAGTTATGCCGACATGGTTAGTGCCAATGGATTTCTAAGGTTTTCTACCACAACCTTCATGCTATCTTAAAAAATGAGCGTGCCACAGCCTCTTAAAGACAGCAATATTACCCTCCATTTATGCTGTGGTTTTGCTGACTCAATTTAGCAGAGAAACAAATCTTACTTGGCAGCAACTTTTTCAGTCTTTACCTCTTCATTCAAGCAGCACATATGAAATGTTCTATATGAAAGGTAATTGCATTTTACATTGGTATCGGATTGTGTTCAAGTGTTTGCAGATCAGCACTCCATTTTCCCTTTCTGTGAATTCTGCAGTCCTCTGTAGCTATTATTATAATAGCTGCCCCAAAGGAGCTGCCGCCTAAGTTAATGGGACCATCAGGGTTTCGTTGAGCCCATCTTATCCAACTTTCCTATCACACAGTTTAGCCAAGTGTCTTGCACTCTGAGAAGCTTCAAAGATTTCCTCTGGCTGTAAAAGCTGCAAATATCTCTGCTTTGTTTATTTTTATAAAAGGTATGCCCACTGTTGTTGTGTGGATCGAGGTTTTTTAATATAGCTGACAAAAGAAATACCATCAGGTTACATTTCCAAATGGTTATTAGAAGATCACAGTTTGAAGTGTCATCTGAACATTAGAATGACTGATCCAAGTGAAGCCAGGAAACAGTGGAAATGGTTTTTAAGACAGACACGTTGCAGGATTGAATCGGACAGATCTGTAAAACCTATAAAAGCCTTAGTCAGCCACTGCCACTCTGTCTCCCACTTTTTACCTTTGCTCCTTTGTTTTTCCCCTCAATGTTTGTTCAAAGCTTGAATTTAGCTTGTCAGGGTGTAGAGGACAAGAGAGCCATTTCCTTGTCAACAAAAGGACAGTCACCCAACCAGAACTGCCACGACACCCTCTTAACAGGGTGCAACAGAATAAAAATAACAACAGCCTGTCACATACCAAATGTGTTCTCTCACAAGTACTTAAAGTACAACAAAGTACAAAAGGTTCATTGTGTTGGTGTTTGCTTGATTTTAAGGAATTGTTAAAGATTTTAGGAAAT